CAATCCGAACTGATGTTTCTATTTTTTATTGTTTTGGGACATGCGCAGAAAAGCGTTTCCGCTAATTCGTTGCTTTAATTGAACCTTTGTAATATTGTGAATGCGGTGTTGGAACTACAGGTTTGAATTTTTAGTAGGTCTGATTATATTATTTTCTTGTGATCGTTTTAATATACGGTCCAAGACATAATTGAAATTCATTCAATGTAGAATGAATAACACTCGTTCGTTTTTCTAAATGAATATCATTTTGCCTTAAGTGTAAGGATTGTATCGGAATTGAGTGTTTCCTTGTTTTGACTCGCTTAAAGGCTAACAAAGCTGCCCATGAAGATTAATGTCAAGCCACCTCCTGTTTGTAGATTTTATAATTTAATTGTTTGCCGAAAATAAATAAAGGGAGACTATTCTGTAATTATCTGAATACTGACGAAAATATAAAGTAAAATATCTTGCATTTTTATTAATCTCTAATCAGAAAGAATTAGAAAAGATACAAAGGAATGCAACCTGTATTCCGGCTTTTTAAAACAATAAGAAATGTTATCTGGGAGTTGATAATACTCTTTTTATGTCAAATTAAAGGACAGTGAAACGAAACAAGTTGCGCAGCATTTTTTAGACAAAAAATAATGAGATCAATGTTTTTTCTCCAGTAATTTTGATTATTTTATTCAATAATAAAATTAAGCATTCATCATGTACTTAACTAATGCAAAATGATTTTTTGAAATACAGGCTTATAAATTAGAAAATTTATATTTTTCAAGGAAACGTGAAAATGTTTAAGATGGAATATGAAAAGAAAAAGAAATTAAACGAACACAAACACACACACATATATATATATATATATATATATATATATATATATATATATATATATATATATATATAGTTAGGCAATGAAATGTTTGGTAATAATGTATGGAAAATCCCAAGGAGGATGTAATCCAGAGAGCTCAAAAAAATGAAAGGAACACACACACACACTACATACACACACACACACACACACACACACACACACACACACATATATATATATATATATATATATATATATATATATATATATATATATATATATATATAGTTAGTTAGTTAGGCAATTAAATGTTTGGTAATCTGTATGGAAAATCCCAAGGAGGATGTAATCCAGAGAGCTCAATGTAAAAGCAGATCAAATATTAGTTAAATTAAAAATTAATATATATATATATATATATATATATATATATATATATATATATATATATATATATATATATATATATGATAATTTATTCTTCCTTTTCTTCTTTCTCACTTTCTCCTGCTTCCTCGTTTGTTTTCTATTATGTCTTATCTCTTTAGTTCACTTTTTTTCTTTGTCTCTTTTCCTTTTCCTATGAAAGGATTTGTTAAATAGGTCAAAATGTCTGGCACCTTACCCTACCGCTCCTACACTTACATATCTTAATAAAGATTTAAAATTATTCCTATCTCTCCCTTCCCTCTCTAATTTCGATCATATCGGTCATCCTCATACTCTCTCTATCATCTTACATCAACTAAAAACTATTCGTCAAAAACTTGTATAAAAATAATATGTAAATTTTTAAACCATTTTCTTTTATGCTTGGAAATGTAATCTGAGGAACCAGGGAAAATCCTTTTTCTGGGGAAATAAAATATAATCTATGGACCCTTAATCTATTAGCCATTATTAAGGATGTTTTGCTTGTCATAATATGTAGATTTTGATGGCCATTTTTTAACAATACAAATGTTTGAAGTCGGTACATTGTGGCCGTTTTCATAATTAATATTATTACGGCTTCCATTATTTTTAAGCGCTTTCAGCAGTTAGATGAGTGTATCATGTTTGTGTTTTCTACAATAGGTTGCGGGGAGAGGTTGGTAGGTCTTTGTATGTATTTAAATGAGTTCTAATTGACCTATTATCTGAGAGGTGCAAAATAAGTTTTCTTGATAGGTATGTAGTTGTATGTCTAACGCAATAAGGGGCAAAGTAAATTCATAAATAATGTTGGTCCTTTGTAGTTTGGATCTAACTAGTAACTTATTATTTTTGATGATGAGTTTGAACGTTTAATATTTTTATAATAAATAATCAACATGATATATTTTAGTTCTGGACGATTAGACGTCTGTGTATTTCTTAATAACAATTTTACTAAGGGGAAAATTATCCGAGCCTATAACCCGTATCTCGCCTGAATTATAATTAACATGCATTTGATTTTTATAGAAAATGTTAATATTCTTGTTTCTTTTCTTTATGTTTAGTCGCCTCCTAGTCAGTCGTGCTTTTCCCTAAGGTAAAAGTTCAAGACCTTCCAATAGATGAATTTACTATTTTAGCGACATGAAGGCATCAAAAGTCTTTAATAAGAATTTTGATGCCTCCTTCTTGCTAGATACGAATGTCATTGCTTAGAAAAAAATGACAGGGACGTCTACTCAATCAGGTGTAACCATTAAAAATAACATTTATGGCAATAACAAATAGTGTCGAATTAAAAAAGAAATCCATTATATATATATATATATATATATATATATATATATATATATATATATATATAATGGATATATAAATCCAGGAGAGGTCAATGCAGACTACAGAGCATTATAATGATAATAAGATGACGGAGACTTTAATTATCCATTTCAATTATAATTTATTTCGTGAACACCGAGGTGTTCAACACTTCAGATCCAAATCCCCTCGGTGTTCATGAAATAAATTATAATTGAAATGGATAATTAAAATCTCCGCCTTCTTATTATCACTATGTATGTGTATGTGTGTGTAAAGACATAAGGAAAACTATTTTTTACCAACGCGTTTCATCCTCTGATGTCATATATATATATATATATATATATATATATATATATATATTAATAATTTCACCCCGAACAAGGCGATAATGCCACGCATTTCATCCTCTGATGTCATATATATATATATATTATCGCCTTGTTGAAATTATTAATATATATATATATATATATATATATATATATATTAATAATTTCACCCCTGAACAAGGCGATAATACCACTGAGACGCAGGAAGAGGATACGAGGAGTGAAAGAGAAAGGCTTACTGAGGAAAATGACAATAAATGAACTGGACTTTGGAAAACAGAAGATGGTGATTGATGTTGCATAAAGTTTTGAAAATTTTAGGTAACAGGCAGGCAAAAAAGAGGGTTGCGCAGGCGAGATGTGCGAGAAAAGAAACTATTAGACTAAAACTGACGGTTGCATCTAGCTAGTTCAATAATCAAACGATATGATATATTTGCTAATCTAGGAGTGTAATTGAAAAAATTATTCATACTTTCACGATAATGTTAAGTTTGTCACACTGATTTCTGCTCATGCGTGTTTATAGTTAGTACATGGTCGAAGTTTAAGTTCGATCGCTCCAGTTTTCTTGCTGCTGTTACAGTGCAAACCTGACCTCTCCGCCAACAGTGTGCATCAAGGAGGAACAATAAACAGGCAAACACTAAGACGACATATTCCTTGAATGATAGGATCTCTATATTCGTGTTGTTATTCAACGAATTGATAGTTAATGTATCATTAAGTCTTGCTAGCGAAGTGGTGTCACCATTAATCGCATTAACATTAAATTTTTGTCTTTATGATATAAAATATAAGCCGCATACTCTAATATATTTACGACATCAGATCCGCAGCATAGTAATAATCAGAATTTTTAATTCTGTGGAAAACTAAGGCATTTTCAATCTACCAATTGTATTGGTCCATTTCGCTTTAACTAATAAACATATACAACAAGAAAATGTCATGGATTTAGAACTTCTCACTTGATCGATTTGAACAAAAATTCTGGCGTCGCGGCATCGCAGGCTCCAAAACATAGATTTAATTGTCAATAAATAGAATAATCTAAAAAAACATCTTTCTGTCTACACATATTTCGTCTTAGTGTTTTCATATGTAGTGAAAAAAATTGCGCCCTGAAGATGACAATTTGAAATTGTTGAAAGTACTCGGCATGTGTCTTCCAACTGACAGCACGAATATAAGGATCTTAAGGAATTGATAGCAAGTTAATGTCTTATTAGCGAAGTGATTTCGCCATTAATCACTGCTATTTAATTCTTTCTATAAATTGTTTATATATATATATATATATATATATATATATATATATATATATATACAATGATATTCACCCTTTTTAATGCCCAAGAGCCACTCAAGTTAGAGTGTTTCGGAGTAAGAGGTATAGTTTATGTTGCTATGTTGGGAAGATCGGTAACTCTAGATTTGAATAGGTTAAGATTGTAGCGATCTAGGAAGCATTCTCCTGGGAGTTGGTTTCAAATCAGCGGTTCGGAAGAGGAAGCAATTCGAATGGGATTTACATTTTACCAATGCAGTACGAAGTGAATGAGGATGGTTCGCTACAATAGGTGTGGCATGGCAAGTCTTAGCCAAGAAGATTAGAACTGGTTGAACTAAGGAATATTGATTGTCTGAACATTTTCCATGGAAATAGCGATAGAACAGCGAAGGGCTTGCAACGTCTCGTCTATGAGAATAGGGGATGGGATGGAAAATAATTAGTTACCCACAAGGACCTGGAGATGCTTTTGGACACTATCTAAAAAGCAAAGTGAAGATTGGGCAGCTCCCGCCCATATAAAACAAGAGTACACTATTTTCGACCTGATCTGGTTCCTGTAAATTTAGAGGACAGCAGGAGGTGTCGGGTATTTATATTATGATTATCTGGAGCGTATCGCCAGAGAATATTGGTTATCAACTTCGTCTACCAAATCATTATATATTTTCAGCCTATCTTACATTCATCTGGCCTTGTGCCAACCTAAGCTAAGCATAGTAAATAACGTTAATATGTGTGCGTCGATGAGAAACAGTAAAAGAGCAAAGAACTAAAATGAGTTTCGTCTTCGACAAACTTTGGCTAGAAAAAAACAAAACAAAAGATGAAGACCAGGAAAATTATAACGGAAATTTTTGTCGACAGCTTTTCCAGTTCATCTGTACGCGGATATACTGTGAACTGCATCGGGCGAAGGAAGGAAGGAAAAAAAACGAAAGACCGCGGTCGACTAGAAATGACGTTTGCCTTTTTCATTGGCTTATTGGGAAAACAGAGCGGGTGGACAAATCCTCTTCGCTTTCTTCTTTTTTTTCCCCTGGCTTTCTTCTTTTTTCTAAGTGATTTGTACAAGTTAAGCAGGGGTGAATTTTCATCTTAGTTTAAATTGTTTTGAGCTAACATTTTTTCTGTATCAATTTGTGATGATACGTTTGTCTGTGTGTATTCGTTCTTCCTTAGGTAAATCCGTGCATTCCAATATATAAGACTAGTGAGGTATAAATGTATGAATGCCTATTCGTTTTAATTTTTTGATTTTGTGTTGTATGCATTGTTTATTTCACTTTAAACGTTTTCGACTTAATCTCGGAATAAACTTTTCAAAGTTTATGATTGAAATTAGCTTCTTTCGTCTTTGTTTTCTTGTTCAAACTTTCTTTGTTTTCTTTACTATCTTCTTCCTTACAATCGTCTTTTTCTCTTGTTAGTACATTTGTTTTTCCTCTTTTTCGCTAAATTCCTTACTTCTCACCAATTTCCATCTTCTTCATCACTTTACCTTCTATTATATCTTCCTCGCATTCTTTTCTTTTTTTCACTTTCTATTTCCTTACCAACATCGGCTTTCTATCTTAACTAAAAATCTTTTTCTTTCCATCCGTTCTCTGAGTCAAAACTTTCTTCTTCCTATTCTTTCCTCCTTTAATGTCATTGCCTTCTTTATTTTTCTTCTTCTTCTTCAACATTTCAGGCATTCTTCTAGTTTGTTATCATTTACTTCTATACTGTAACGTTTTTTAGAACACCTTTGCCATTTTTTTTTCGTTTTTCTTTTTTTTACCCAAGCTATGTTTTCTCGCATTTCATCTCTTTTATTCTGTTTTCTTCTTCTTCTTCTTCTTCTTCTTCTTCTTCTTCTTTCCTCCTCCTCCTTCTCCTCCATTTTCTTCTTCTTCTTCTTCTTCTTCTTCTTCTTCTTCTTCTTCTTCTTCTTCTTTAATGACAAATACCTTCTTTGTTAGGTGATTTTTTTTCTCCGTCTTCTTTTTCAGCATCACCGACCTATTTTATCACCATTTAATTCTTTACTATATCTCTCATCTTTTTTGTTTTCGAGAGAGAGAGAGAGAGAGAGAGAGAGAGAGAGAGAAACTGAAATAGAGAGAAACACAGAAAAAGAGAGAGAGTGAAGATGCTCATTATTTCTCTTTAGTTTTCATTTTCTTTTTGACGATAGCTACTCCTCGTTTTTAATTTCCTTCATCCAGCTTTCTTCTTCTGTGTCTACTTTCCCCCTCCCCTCACCTCTTAATTCTTCTTCGCATCCTTCTTCTACTTCTCTTCCTCCTCTCTACTTTCTCCCCCTCTTCCTTTTCCTTCTCCTTCTTCCGCCTTCTTCTTCTTCTTTTTCTACTTCTTTTCTTCTTCTTCTTCTTCTTCTTCTTCTTCTTCTTCTTCTTCTTCTTCTTCCTTTCCCTTTTTCTTCTTCTTCTCATCCTTCTACTTCTTCGTCTTCTTCTTCAGAATCCAAACAAATGAAAGCAATCGGTAGAAATGAAAGTCGCGAAGCAGAAGATTAAAATGGTGCCGGTAAAGAAAATCAGGAAGACGATGACAAATAAGAAAAGAAAATCATTTCACATAAAAAAGAAGAAAAAAAAGAAAAGGCGAGATGTGGGTAAAAGTACGTTCGCCTGATTTTCTCTTTTGACAACCATGATGGCGATGATGACGAGTTGCTCTCAGACGGATATTTGCTTATTACGTTTACCTCCAGACCCCCCCCCCCCACACACACACTAGTATCAGAAAAAATGTCTTGAGACTGTCGATAGAAATTGGGCTTGGTTAGCAAAGAGATCAAAAGACGATCGATTATTGGTGATTGACTAACAGCAGTTTGTTTTTGCCGTACTTCAATAGATATAAGTATTTTTTTTTTGTTTATATACGTATTTAATAAGTTTAACATAGTCTGGTACAAGTTCACGGTCGTCGAGCGTCGATTGAAAATGAAACACATTACAACAGCAATAGTTTTGGATATTTAGCCTCAAGGACGCATGGCACAGTGGATAAGGGCGTTAGTTAGATCCAGTGACAGAGTGTGAGTTCAATACCTGGTTAAGGCGGTGGAGAACTTGGAGAGGTGAATTACCAGGAGATAACTGGCATCCATTAGATATGGCACGTGGAACTAGAACAGTCTACTACAACGAGCGAAATAAATGGTTCAGTTCGACATTCCAACCACCTGAAGAAAGCCGGGGCGTACAACGGCCGAAACGTTGTGATAAATATAGCAACAAAGATAAGGATGATAGTCCGAACAATGTAAATAGTGTACATAATGCCTAATCTCAGAAATATAGACAGATATTAGCGCTAATTGGTTTTTGAAAGCCTATCTCCCATAAGGAGCTAAACTGGCAAAAGAATGAGAAAAAACACTGTCATGGCTGGATAACGGTTAGCGTCTTCGAAAGAGAAATTAATGAGTCGTGTTCGAATTCTAGTCAAGTTTATTACGTACACTTTTTCACAAATACTTTTGAGAAAAGTAAGTAGCCATTTCGTCTCCCTTTCACCAGTTAGGTTTTTTTTTTTTTTTTTTTTTTTTTTTACAGTAAGGTTCAACCTGTACTATGCTGGAAAGTAGAGAATAATTTGTCATCAACATACGGGCTCGGAGACGCTGGAGAGTAAAGATCGGCCATCTCCCGCCCAAATATGGTAACAGTTCTTCATTTTTAACCTGATCTGGCTCTTATAAAGGTAGAGGATAGCATGAAGAGTCAGGTACTTACTGGAACGGTACAGGATGCCGACCATTTTATCTGCATCTTTAGCAATTGATCGTATGTACGAGTTCTACTTGAGGTCAGGTGTGAGTTTGAGACCGAACAGTTTTTCAAGACACGGTGCCTCGCTGAGGTGACATCCGTTCATCGTGACTGGTGGTAGTTCGTGGTGCGGTCGGCGATTTTCACTCTCTAGTATTAGTTGAAAATGAAATAGAAGGAAAATTCTGAATTCAAAATTTGTTCATCTGCTTGTAAATATACACCGAGGTCCTCTCTCGGTCTTTTATTGAACTGGACAAGTCACCCCACGTTGTGTTTCTCTTCTCATTTCCGTCGATGTGTACGAAAACTGGAGAGGGACCGCTATACGTTTACTAGGAAATGAAAGGCGAAATATCGCCACAGCGAAAAATGAATATATGAATCCTGTATCCATTATATTGGTTATTTATTCACTCCTATTATCTGTCTGGACGTCTCTACATCATGACGCATATCTTGAAACTCAACAAAGGGTGTGGGATACTACTTACAATTCTAACTGGGACACTACTTATATATGCTAGTAACCGGAACTTCCTAACTTCCGGCCAATTTGCACTTGATCTCGATGTTTTATTATTCATTTATTTATCTACTTATTTCACTTTTTCTTAAGCCTATTTGTGGGGAGCTGATGATTTGAAGATCATATTGACAGGATTTTACTGTCTACGCAGTCTTAAAACCCGACCTAGATATAATCATTTCGAACCCATTTGATTCGTGTATGTAGTAATTCCGGCTGAGCCTCGTTATGTCATAGGTTAATGGACAAAAAGAAAATCTTCAGCTTCCGTTAGCAATCTATCTAGAGATGATGTAATAAAAACACCCAGCAGCCTCGGACACACAAACGTACTGAAATTCTTAAGTCACATGGTTTGGGAAATATCTTCCTTCTTTTTACTGCTATTGTCAGCCATCATAAATTCAATCAAGGTGAATTCATCACAAGCCATGCACGGTTAGGATCGAACTTAATTCATTAGTAAGGGCCTGTTTATCATGTTTGCTAGCCAGTAGGAATAAAAAATCTGTTCATATTTCTGAGATGAGGTATTGTAACTATTGACAAATATTTATATTCATCTTTATTTACGACATTCCGGTCGTTGTGCGCTGCGGTCTTCTGTAGGTATATTAGTTGGAATTTTGAACTTAGGAAATACAATTATCTACCCCTGTGGTCTAAATAAAGGCTTCGGTTCGAAATTCCATTTAATATCACCTGAAGAAGGGCCGGGCGTAAAATGTCCGAAGTGTCGTGAATATGGCAATAAAGATGGGAGCAACAGTGCGTACAATTTAAATATTGTAAATAGGAATAAAAATGTTTAATCACACTGTCAATATTGAAAAGTAATGATAAGATGCCTTTTTACCGATATTTACGAGGCTTAACTAAAAAGACTAAAAAGACTTATATTAATTCATAAGATTGGAAAAGGAAGGTCTCCCAAGTTAAAAGCCCAGAATGCATAATTCTCACTTTTAGCTAAAATTCAATAACTGGCATTTGTAGGAAGTAAGGGTGTGCTTTAGTTATAAGACTATTACTATAAAGTTTTAACTTATCCTGGTACAAGGGGATTATAGCTATATCCCGTTGAAACATAAGTTCTCGTTATGATCACAGAAGTTAAGCAACTTCGAGCCTAGTCATTACCAAGATGGGTGACCGCTTGGGAATACCAGGTGCTGTAAGCTTGGATCTGCAGGAAGTATAATAGATAACGGCTTGGAATTGGAATTCGAAGAGCTGAGTTCCAAAAGTCAGGTTCATTAGATTCACTTACGCGCCTATATTCTTGGAAAAGGTATGATTCCACCTCTTCTTCCTCCCCATCTATGGGTTAATTAGTAGGCCATTTATCAGTAAATTATTATTATCTCAACAAAAATCTTAAAAGATAAAAATATTTTCTGGCTTTAAATAACCCGTAAAAGGTTGATAAACCGTAAAAAACAAAACACTCAATTGAAGTATACTAAATATACTGATATAAGCAACAAGCACATGTATCTTTGAGGGTACCAA